GATGGGATCTGCTTCAAGGAATGACAGCTTGACTCATTTGAGGCCACACAAAGGGCTGGTGAGGCCAGAGTCCATCTCCTCATATGACACCGGTATCCCTTCCATCCAGCATGCAACCAGCCAAAATCACACGGGGAGTCAACGTGTGGAGAGAGGCTTGGAGGTTCAGCCATCCCTAACACAGCGAGCACCTGAGAGAGGGGTCACACTGTCGCCTTCCAGGGTGAGGGCAGACAAGGGCCCGGGCTCCCCCATTTGAGCAGGCTTCTCACTGTCCATGTGTCTGCCACGGATGCCAGTTGGAAGCAAGGTGATGGCAGGTCCGTGGAAGCTCTGGTCTGGCAACGGGGCATGAGACCTGTGCACAAGAATCGAGTCAAGGAGCCTGGAGTGAAGAAAGAGCATTAAGCTCTGCGCTGATCCGACAGCCTCTAATGGCTGTGTGCTCTTGGGTCAAATACTTACCCTCCCTAAGCCTCATGACCCCAGAAAATGGGGATAACACCACCAAACTCACTGGATTCAAAAATAATACACATACATACATACACCCGGATCCACGGGGCAGGCGAGGGGCGATTTCAGGGATGCTCTTTTCCCCTGGAATTGAAAATACCATCCTGGTGCCTGGCTCAGGAGCAAGGCCAGCTGAATGCTTCTCCTGCCCTAGGAAGATTCAGGGGGGCGAGGGGGACTCCACCAGAGGTCTTTCTGAGGTTCCCAGTCCTCTGAAAGCCCGTCTGGGAGGTATGTTAGCAGGGGCCCATTAAACGCATCCCCTTGTTCCTGGTCTGGATTTTGTCTGCTCCAAAATAAGGTAGAGGATTCTAAACATTTTGAAAGCTGGAGATCTTCCTTAAGCCTTTCCTGGGTTGCAACCATAAAATACCTGATCAGTCCCTGACGTATGCAGTCAGATTGACGAGAATGAGCCAAAGCAGCCCTTTGTCAGGCGAGCGGGAATAGTTAAGGTTTATGGTCCAGATTTTCCAGTATGGATTATTACATAAACCCTGCCTGCGATTTGACACTGTAATTAAAGCTATTCTATGTATCCTTCAGACATGAAAATACAGTATTTTGGTTCTTGAGTCTCAGATTTTTCTACTTTTCTCTTAAAGGCAAACAAACCTTATTTCCGGTGGTTTGTAAAACCACAAGTTGTCTTTCCTGAGCATCCAGAACGGGGACACGGCCTAAGTAGAAACACCAGCGTCTGAGGCCTGGGGGAGACTGCACTGGGGGTGGGGGTGGGGGTGGGGTAGGAGGCCAGGCAGATCTAAGAAAACCTTCCAGACACTGGGGGACATTATTGGTGCCCACAACTTGCAGGCCCTCTGAACATATTTTCAGAGCCTTCCAATAACAGAAAAAATAATTAATACCCGGGGCACAGAGGTTCACGTGTGAGCCCAGAACGGCTAAGGAGGCTGGTGGTTGGCTGCATCAGCTGTGAAAGCAAAACTCTTGAGCAAATTCTATTTTCTTGAATGGTGTTCCTGTCCTTGCTGGGTTTATGAGCAGGGGATGGATTTGCCAATGCTCTTCTCCTTGCTCTAAGAGGACAAGAATGCTGGGGACTTAGGAGTCCCTTTTGCCAACACTGTAGGCAGGAAGCTTGCCTGTTACCCACCCCCTTAGCCAGCTAGGTGTGCTCTACACAGAGACTGATTTCCAACCACAGTATCATGATGTATAATAAAAACTAAGCTTAGTTATGGGAGGCCCTGGAGCTACTTGGACCTGTTACAGATCCTTAACAGGGTGAGACTTTAACAACAAGTATTTTCTTATAGAACAGGCAGCTTCAAAATCTACCCAACAAACCTGCAAGAAAGGGAATGTCAGGATAGACAAAGTCACAGATGAATTTCTGAAATGGACTAAAGGCAGTCTTTAGTAAACAGAGGAAACAAGGAAGATTTTTACAACTCAGCATTCCAACAAACCAAAAAACAAAACAAAACAAAAAACACAAAACCAAACAACTCACATGCAACTGCTTCTCTCCTTTTGACTGACATTCATAAATGATTCCTCTGAATTCACAGAAGAAAGTAAAAAAGCCATATTTATTGCACCAAAAATACCAAAGTTCTAATTAAAATTTTTTGTGACCTTCACACCTGTGATAGTCTTAGCATCAGGTTTAGAACAAAATGTGATCAAGGAAATACTGTAAAAACTGAATTATTATGGGCTAGTAACGAGACTCTGCAGCCCATTGGTCTTAGCCATGACCAATGCCGACCCTTGCAAAGCACCAAATCTCAAACATAACCCTCGCAAATGCACACACACTTATGAAGGAAGGACATGCATTTATGATGAAACACTCACTGATAGACAGAAGTCTCGGCTCTCCTTACATCTTGATTTCAATCACATAAGTGAGAAATATACTGAGGATAACAATACCTGCCTGTGGGATTCCTGGTTCTCTGACAGTAAGAACGCTATAAATGAAGCCCAGCTGGCGAACTCCGTGGTGGGCCCAGGGATTCTGCAGGAGATGCTGAGCATAATTCAAAGAGCACACAAGTCAAATCCCTGGTGTTTAACATGCTCACTTCAGTCTGGTTCTCAATAGTGAATGGGGTGGTTCTATTCCACCCTGCATTTAGCCTCCCCTCTGTAAGGGCCTGACCAAGTGCACTCTTAGAAACAAACAAAACAATCCAGTGTCCACTTCCAAAGGGAGATCCCGGACAAAAGGAGCTATGACTCAGAGAGGCAGCTTCAGAGGGGAGACCACTAGGGCTACCCCTGATGTGTTTGGTAAAGAATTTTATTTCTCCTGGGTGAGTACTTTACTCATGAGCTCACTACAGAAGACGTTCTAGTGGAAATAAGGCTCGCATTTATGGGATGTCTTTTATCATCGAAATGCTTACCAGGTCAATGAAATATCCTAGCATTGCTGTGGGAGCAGTTTGGCCAAGTCTTTTACAAACGGTGAAAGGAGACACAAGGAAAGCAGGGAAAGGCCATGGAAAGACCAACAATGACGAAAAGGGAAAGGTATCTAACACGCAGTACAGTGCTACTGATGGAGAAAAAGATGCGAAACACTCTTTGCGCATTATGTCCAAAACAATGGTGTCTTTTAAAAGGGCGGTTTGCAAATGGCAAATGTGAGATGATTTGCAAATGCATCGTTTCTGATATTAAATGATGTCTCTGATCTACTGCCATCGGTGAGAGGTCCATTTCCATAGAAACGAGTAGAAAAGTAGGCCAAAGCTGGCAGTATGGTTTCTAGGAGGAACGGCAGCTGAGGTTCCAGCCAGTCATGGAAAGCACTGGTTTTGTAACCACTGTTGTCAAGAGCTTTTACTGAAAAGGGGGGGAAAAAAAGAGCTTAAACTCAAAGAGCAGGCACAGACAGTATTTGAGGACTTTGCTGGGATTTCAGACAAAGCCACGGAAGAAAAACGGTGCCACGCGTGCTTTGCTTTTCAGATATCCCACAGGACAGTCAGCTGCCTCGTGCTAACAGGTGCCTCCCTCTACGCCGGCCTTGGAGAAAAGAACGTGCTGCACCAGTCTGACCGAGCTAAGAGTTAGGAGCGTTCAAGTGCCAGGCCCAGCTCTCCCAGATAATGGACTTGGAAATACTCCGCAATGTGGGCCAGGCGCACAGGAAGGAGAGTCGAGGTAGACCATGTATAGGATACTGTGGTACACTCTGGCACTCAGTGCTCAGAAAAGCAGAATGCGTGGGGAAATACTTGCAAAGAAAGTTCACGTTGTACCTGTGTTTTAAAAACGCCTCTTTCATGGGCTATCAAAGTGTAGGTGGGTTTATGCAACAAGCACCTCTGCTGTCTCAGCCCTTTCTGGGAAGGACGGGGTTGCCGTGTGGACCACATGTGAACGCGGAGCCCGGGCGGAGCCTCAGAGCCGACCCCCCCAGTCGCCGTTCCAGCAGAATGGACGCAGGTGCCCCTCCACCAGCAATGCGCCCAGCTGCTGCAGCAAGGCTGCCTGACGCTCTCACCCAAGTGAGCGAGGGCACAGGATGCGACCCCAGCTCTGCATGATTCATTTAACCCCTTCACCCCGGAATTCCTTTGCAGAAAAAGAAAAACATGACACTTGTAGGGTGAAAGATTTCCTTGAAGGGGGAAAAGACATTGAAAACTCTGCTCTGTGAAATGAAGGAAGAAGAGGATTTCTTTAGGCAAAATTAGATCTCTAGGCCAATCAGCTGAGCATCAGCCGCCTGTTAGAGGGAAAACCCAGCCCGGTGGATGTAACCACATGAACACACAATGACGATCTTGTTCATTTCCTCTGGCTCACCCGGCGATCGGAGGAAACAGAACATGCGTCTGTAAGCCCTCTAAAATATCTCACTTCCCCCTCTGCTCACTGTATAGAGCGCGTACGCATTCACATCACCCTAAAGTCACTTGAAGAATCCAGTGATTGCTTACAAACGGTGAAAAATACCAATACGATGCGAAGAAACGAGCATTTTACAGAGACTCCTCTTTGATGGACTTTAACGTGAATTATTTTATTTAAAACAGGAATCCATCAGAGGTGGTGAACTATCAGGGTAAGTAAATGTTCTAGAGCATGGCACGGATGAAAGGTAATACTCACCAGCACCTCACATGGGACTAAAAGACAATGACAGCCACACAGCATGGAGGAAAACCAACACCATGGAGAAGGCACCTGGCTGGGAGAGAAGCCCGGTGGGCGCTGTGTGTGCACTGTGGATACGTCGGGACAGACGACACTGGGAACGGACGGACCAGGTTCTGACCTGAAGCCCGGGAGCCTCTGTGGGTAGCGAACCTTTCCTCAAACCGGTTTTCCACCCACGGCGCACGGTTTAAGGTCCTGGAGAGGGGACGCGTTTGCAAGAGAGCAACAAACACTCTCCCGCGTTTTATCTCCGGGAGAGAGAGGTGCCCTCCCCAACTTAGTTTCAGCAGTGGCTTCTAACTTAAAACCGTACCAACAACGATAAAATAAAAGACAGAATAGGGGCCTGAACTCAGACCCATCGGTCGAATGGGAGAGGCAGATTCATAAAAATAAAGTCCGGTCACCAGTCCGAACGTGCTGCGAACGCCCCGTCTCAGTGACTCGCGACTACAGCGGACCACAGTAGGTGCAAGCGCGGCGCTGCCCGGGGCAGCGGGGAGGGAGCCGCCGCCCCCCGCCTGCCAACGCTCCGCACGCCTACCCGTGACCGCACGCCAAGTGCTGAAGTTGGAAGAGACCTTGAATTGGCAAAGGATGCCTGGGGTGGCCGGGTCTGTGGGAAACAAGACTCACGCTCTCAAAGAATGACCCCCGAGCCCCCTCTCCTCGTCCCGATGGCACTGCATGTTTGCCCTCCTCACAGGGAGAGCCACACCATTCTGTTTCCCCTCTCAGTTCTAGGCACTCTCTGGGACATCTGCGATGAGCCAGGCTCTTCTCATTTCTTCCCCACTCCGTTGGTGACTTTTGACTTGGAATGTCGATTCCTTCTTCTGGAAGAGTGGCTTTCGTTGTTGCCTGGATGCTTGGGTGGGCTGTCCTCAGAACCTGGCCAAAGGAAGGAGAATACGCCGTCACCCTGGCTGTGGGGAGTTGAGGGCTCACTCCTCAGATTTGCAGGTCTCCCTGCTCGGACCTGCCCAAAGTGCAGGCAGGCTCTTCTGCTGATACTTGCACTCCATCTAGTGGCCTCATGAATACACGAAGGCAAGGCCCAGAAATACAGCTTACGCCTGCATATGCAAGGAGAAGGGGGTGGGGGTGGGGGAGCTTCCCGAAGAATTTTTACATTCTTGCTGTGTAAGGTGGACTGTGCTCACGGTGATGGGCTCCAGAACGGAGAGGACAAATGACATCAAAGCACAAGGAAGAACAATGAAACCACAGGGGTGTCGAGTCTACTCTCACAAGCAAAGGAGGCCTCACCTAGATTTCCATGCCTGGACCCGTTTACACACTAGAGTTTCTACATCCCCAAACTGAAAGGATTCCTGGCTTTACAAAATTAAAGATATTATGCCCTCTATCATCCGATCCAGAGAATACCTTTAAAAACCAGGCCCCTGCTGCTCATGACAGCTCTGGAGCCTCCCACTGAAGATGCCACACACCTTCATTCGAGATGCTCATGGTCTGCAGGGACACACTTATTATTTGTTTGGGACCTCGGAGAAAAACTTCCACATCAGCCGGATGCTGAGCTGCCAGCAGCTGCCAGCCAGGTGGAGGGTGAAAGTGGAGGGGAGCAGGCTGCGGGTGGGCCTTCCATGTAGTGGGGTGTAAGGAAGGCTTGCGAGAGAAGCAAAACTGCCTGGCATCAGGCTGGCTCTGCCCTGAGGCTGAGCACAAGGCCACCCTCCAGCCCAGCAGTCAAGCCAGACAGTTCTCTGCTCCAGGGCTCAGATCCAGGCCCTCCACCCAAGACAGCCACTAAAAACATAAGAAGTTCCCAGAGTTTTGGTCTCCATTGCAAAGGCCATTTGGCTTAGTCCAAGGGATTCTTCTATCACTCTGAAGTTCTTTTTTTCTTTCTTTCTTCTTCTTCTTTTTAACGATTCTGTCTACCTTTCGTTTCAACATACCTCTACCACTGCCTACTTCCTGCAGTCTTTTCACTGGAGAGGGGCTTAGAAGTGCCAAGAATTGATCTGTGAGGAGCTGGTTCTGAATGAGGGAGCCCTAGGGAACCCCTCAGCCCACTAGTGTCAGCGTTCCAAAACAGGGTGCCCATCGACCCCTTGACTCAGGAGTCTCAGAAAGGGTGCCCAGCCACTCAGCAGAGAGCGTGCTTGCCTCTTCCCTGGAAAGGACTCTGGAAAGCTTGGCCCCAAAAAACTCAGGAAAGCAGTGCAAATGGTAGTGCTTTCCTCTCCGTGGGCCCCCGGCTTCTTGGAGCAATTCTGTGAGCTCAAATTCACCATCTCCAGCACTCATAATTCTCTCCCTTCAGCCAAGCCTTCTGATTGGCTCATAAGAACTGACAAGAGATTACTGTCCAGTGGAGCCTCCTTGGTGTCATTCCATAAGCCTAATTCTTTAAAATAGCCAGGTGGCCCCAAATCTTTCCAAGAGGCTCCCTGCAGAGGCCAATGGGAAATTCCTGGCTCCACTACTGAAATCTTATACTGGGCTGCCTCTTGAATAAATGAAATTAAATCAATCCACCTCTTCTGAGAGACCTCTCCTCCTGGTACATAATTCTTCCTAATCCTTTTCACTCATGACCAAAGCCAGGAGGAAGAACATTACCATCAGGATGCCTGAGACAGGAGCAGGCCTCATGACATTTTCCCGTCTCAGGAGAGGCAGAACCGCACGGTGCCTCTTCTTATGAGGCAAGTTTCTTGGGCAGATCCTGCCAGTATTTGGCAGGTTTCAGGAAAAGGTAATGGAGGACATATGACAAGAAGGTCTGAGAACCTTCAGGGCATACATTTATCAACATTCAGAGGATAAACACTGATTCCAAATCTCCTTACGGGGCCTCAGGAGGAAGAGAACTCAATAAAGTTTTTAAACAATGAGTGAGAGATACCTTTTGAGCCTTTCCCATGAGACCAGGAGATGTCTGGACTGTAGGTGCCGTCTTCACACTCTGAGTACGTCTAGGGAGAGAGGGAGACTTAGTGATGGAGCTTCAAGTACTCTCCGGGGTGGGGCAAGGCCAGCAAGTGGGGCTGCTCCGCCCCTGGGTCACCAGCAAGTGGCAGAACCTCCTGACACTCCTGTTCCTCAGCTATAAAACCACAACTGTCTCCCAGGGGCTACAGCATCAATCTTCTAGAAGTACTGGGGTCAGTTCCTCAGGCTTAAGGTATGAACCAAGGAGGAAAGCTATATTTTACTTAAGAAGATATTACACTCTATGGTAGACTACCCATGTAGCATGGTGTGTTCAGCCTGCTCATGTCTATTTCCTCACTGTAACCCCTGTGTCTTCTACGAGGTGGGCAGGGCAGGCGTTTTATGAGGGGGAGCCCCAGGCTGGGTCACAAAGAGGCCCGCACAACGTCCAAGAGCTGGGAAGAAAACCCAGCCTTTCAAAAACCAGTCCAGGGCTCTCTGTGCGATTTTATTTTTAAACAGACACATAATTGGGTTTTAAACCCCTTACAAAAGGAGGACAGAAATAGTGACCTATTGAGCAGGGCACTCACAAGCATGGGCAGCCACTGATAGGGGACAAATACTGAACTGGTTGTTTCCGCAGTGGCCAAGACTGAAGGTGTGTGCTCACAGTGCGGGCCACGCCACAGTCTCAGATGAACCCGCCCACCAAAGCTCCAAGCAGGATGTGATCATTTTAAAGTGGGACCCTTCCATACCTTTTCTCGGTGACCATAGTGCTCTGCATACCAAACCATGCCATAGAGACACAGGAAGGTGGTGAAAGCCTGGAAGAGAAAAACAAGCACGTTTCATACACAATGTTGCACCAAAAAAATCCCATTTCCCAGGATTTCAGGGTTTCAGCAGTAACGCATACAAGACGGCTCGATGTGGCTTTGCCATCTCTCCTAGGACACCGGTTACACAGTGGCAGAGATGAACCCCAGGAGATGAGTGTGTGTGTGTGTGTGTGTGTGTGTGTGGGTAGGTGTGTGTGTGGGTGTGAGAGAGTGGGGGAGGGCATCCCCCAAAGCTTCAGACACGAGTCATGATGAGACCCTAGTGACTACTTATGATGCCGATAATCAGAATGCAAGATCATTTTTCGATGGCGGATAAGGTGGGATGCATTCTCTGCACGGCTTTGCAGGTTTTTATATACTTTATGTCTGGTTCTCATGGCCCATTCGCTGCCGCCAGCACTGGGAAGTTAAAAGGACTCAGCTGGTAAGCTTCTGTGGGGAAGAGGAGTTCTAAATGAGAAGGGAGTTTCATTCGGTCTGGGATCACAGTGTCGCTGGAGGGCATCGAGGACCTACGCCCACAGTGTCTGAGTGGGTGGTGGGCACAGTGGGACACAGCTGGCCATGTCTCTGCACCACTTTCTCAACTCCTTTTTTGTCTCAGCGGCCCCACCCCAACCCCGGTTCTGGTTGCTTTTGTTTTTCCTCTTTGAGTCGATAGGAAAATACAGAGAAAACAAAACCCCTTTGGAAGCAAGCCCCAGAGTGAAATGAGAAGGGAGTGGTCTGCGGGTACCCAGAGGCAGGGATGACCTCTACTTCCCCGACAACTCCCCACCCACCCTGCACCGCACCCTAAATTATACCCTAATTTAAGCAAATAATAGCATCTATGGAAATCCAAAGTCTTCAAACGTGCCAAAGCACTAAAAATCAGGGAGAAGTTTCTGGTTGCCTTGCCGGAGCACTGAAGGAGAGAGGGGGAGTGAGGATAGAGGAGTCCCCGCCAGGCCCTGCAGCCAAGCCTGACCTTCCCGACTGTAAGTGAATCACCAAAACAAAACTACGCTTGTCCATCCCCGTTCTGTGTCTTCAGAATGCCTCGCCTTAGGAACTGACTGACACGGGAGAAAGAAAAGCATCAGGGGAACACTTGAGTGTGGAGCCGAGCCTGCAGGGAAGGCGGGGGGCTCTGAATTCTCATCACCCCAGCGTGCAGTCCAACTCTGGCCCAATTCCTGTCAGTCAGCCATGTTTACGGAGTGTCGGCTGGGTGCAGCGTCACCTTAAGTGCAAAAAAGACAGGAGTCCGAGTGCTCTGGAGGGCCTTCTTCTATGTCAATGAAGTGGGAATACTGGCGTGGTGGAGACAACATGAAATGTTAAGACTCACTGGTTCATTTTATTTTAAAGCCATATGCAAGTGGGCATATATCTGCAGATGAGGGATTTAAAGAAAAAGGAAGCTCATATCCTCCCCCATCAAAAAATTAGACAAGGAATGAATATATTAAGATGATAAAAAGAAAATAACTTCTAACCTTTAACATATTCTAGGACTTGCTCAAGATTTCTAATCTACACCACCATTAAATGTACCATTTTCATGGGATGGAAAGAGTGGGGAAGCCTAGATTTGCAGGGTGTCAAGCTCATTTAGGTGTTCCCTCCTTTACAAAGAGCAAAATAGGCTGTCTTAGGTTTGGGGGTAGGGGGTGGGGAGTGGGGGGCAGGTTCTACCTCCCCAGACCAGAAGGCTGGCCAGATAGCTGTCACTCCACTAGACTAAGGGGGTGGTGAGCTCGGGGCTGGCTGTCATTGCAAATTCTGCCCACTGGAGGGCAGCAGTGTGGAGCGCTGCCTTCCCCAGCCCTGTCCCCGAGAGGGCAGGTGGGGGCAGTTGGGGCTTGCTCCCGCAGAATGGGCTCTGCAATTTGCAGGCAGGCAAACACTGGCAGGTGGTGAGCAACAGGTGCTTATCATCACAATCGCCACACAAAGAGCCTGCTGTGGTGGCCAATTTACCACTTCCCCCCCCCCCCCGGGGGTACTTAGAGGCCCATTTCACACTTGTCCCAAGGAGACAAAAGCTTGTAATTTACAGGTTTGCAATCACACCTGTGAAAATCTAGGCGCATATCCACTTAAAATGTCAAGGCCTGGATTTAAAAAGCAATTGTACAGATTTTGTTTAAAGAAAGGGAAAGGAAAAAAAGAGAAAGAAAAACACGTGGGAGGAGGGCCAAGGCAGCACACAGCCAGGGGGGTGTGGTGACAATAAGGGCGTAGGCCTGGCTTGACTTCCAGTTAGAGTACGGAGCAGGCAAATTTACATAACTGATGAGACAGCTGCTGAGGAGAAGCTTACTAACCAGCATACGGCATGCCTCTAAGTTCTCAGGTCCCTCAAACCCCAACACCCTAATCAAATTCATCTCCCTGCGACGCCTTAATCAAATTCATCTTTCACTCAGCGAGCTTCTCTGATATCCCCCGATCTGTTTCTACCGCCAACAGCCACCCAGGGGCACAAACTAGAAGCCCTGCAGTTCCCCTCAGGCTATCACAAGGGGGTGGCGTCCTGTGGAGCTGATCTCTGGAACAGCTCTCAGATACAGCCCTCCGGGGCGCCTGGGGGGCTCAGCCGTTAAGTGTCTGCCTTTGGCTCAGGTCATGGTCCTGGAGTCCCCCCATGGAGAGCCCCGCAGCGGTGGGGAGTCTGCTTCTCCCTCTGCCCCTCACCCCGCTTGTGCGCGCTCTCCCCCCAGCCTCTCAAATAAGTACATAAATAAATAAACCTTTAAGAAGAAAAAAACGCAGCCCTGTCTCCGTCTTCCCATGCCACTGCCTTGGGTCAGCCTCTGTCATTTCTTGCCTGGGACCCTCAACACCCTCAGACAGCACCTCTCCTCCCCCCAGACTCTCCCACACCATGCAGCCTCTCTCTGTGAACCAGTGTCTTCCCACTGAACGACAGTCCTTGGATCTCCAACTACAGACACACAGGAGTCCTTCCGAAGCAGACGTCCCTTGTCCCTTCCCCCACACCTTACTCTCCTCCTCCCACCCCCCGAACACGGTGCCGTCTTCCTGAGACGCGGGGCACGGGCACCGATGCACGTCTTTGCATGTGCCAGTCTCTCGGCCTGGATGTCACTCCTGGCCCCTGTCTCTCGAACCCACTCCTTTATCCTCCATGCATTTGCCAAGTGAGTCCTATGCATCAGACACTGTGTTAGGGTCAGTGCGGACCAGGGGACGACAAAAACTTAAGTCTTCGTAGGCAAGAGGTACACGCTGAGGAGAGAATGTAAACAACTCAAAATTACGTGACACTGAGGTTCGAACTCAAAGAAATATGTACCAGGTGCGACCGGTCCCCCAAGGGGACGTAACCAGCCCGCCTGGCTGGGGCGCATTTCATGGAGGGCAGGAATTTAGTTTGGTCTTGGCATGAGTCACTAGGTAGAAAAAGCAGGGAAAAGCATTCAGATGGGGCAAAGAAAGCACCCTAAGTGAAGACAAGAGAAGTCTGGAAGGATGATTCGTTGAGGTGACTAAGAGCAGTCTGGGGTAGCCTGAGATTCAAGTCCAAGAGGGTGGGTATGATGAGCGCTCCAGACGAAGACGGTCCTAAACACACACGTCAGAGTTCACATTCAGCCGGTAGGTTTTGTGGCGGGGATTCTTCCTTCTTGATACTTCTTTCTACACGGAGGAGCTTTGCTGGTATAATATTCCTGCTTCTCTCCACCCCTCACTCCTTTCGCAGAAGAGTTCTCTATTCACGGACGGGGGAATCTCAGATAAGGAAGCTGGACATTTCCTGTCCTTCCTTGGGTGCTGGGCCACCCGCGCAGTGTGAGGAGGCCTGCTTCCTGAGGCCAGAGAGCGTGTCTCATTCTGGGCCTCACTCTTCAGAAGCCCCTTGTTGCCGTGCCTCTGAAGCTGATATTGAAAAATGTGAAAACTCAGTAACAGAGATGCTATGCTGCTCTCCACGGCCTTCTTTCACCCTATCTTTTAAACTATTCTGAACTGAAAAATGTATTATTGGGGCTTCTCCAGCCCCCGACGTTAGGCAACGGTTCTGAGCAGGGAAAGAGATTCGGATTGGAGTCCCGGAAGATGGCGTGGCGGCAGCATAGAGCATGGCGCCAAGGGGCAGAATGGGGAGGAAGTGCAGGTTCAGAGGGCTGCAAGGACAGGGGGGGTGGGGGTGGGGCGGAGCTGGACGGACAGAACCTGGTGACCCGCTGGTTTCGAGAGGGACAGAGGAGAGGAAGCAGCCCGAGGTTTTTAGCTGGGGCACCTGACGGACGGGAGAGCAGCCACCGCAACCCTTCAAAACCCTGCTCACGTGGTAGGTCCAGGGAGACTTCGGCAGCTCCCCAGCTCGTGTGATGCTCTCTAGCGCTCCCTCAGCTCTAGGTACACATCCTTTGTACTGTCTGTCACACAGCAACATGATGAGTTTGCATGGGTCATTCCCATCCGGACCTGGAGATCCTTGGAAGGGGACGCCCATGTGGGGAGAACAGGAACTCTCTTGCCGGGCTGTCTGGATGTGGGCCCTAGCTCTGCCACGTACTATATGTGTGACCTTGAGCCAGTTAGTGAACCTCTCTGGGCCTTTATTTCATCTATAAAAGATGGCATATAAAGTACCTCCCCTCCAAGTAATCCTCAAACATGCCATTCATGAGAAGTGCTTAGACCAGCGTCTGGCTCACAGTGAGCATTAATATAATCTTATCATCACCGTCTGCTATCTGTGCAGCTCCAGCATCAGAGGCTGCTTTGATGAACACTCAGTAAACTTAGTCCTGTGAACAAATGACAGACTTGCAGGGACCACGCTGGGTGAAGGAGAGACCGAAGCGGTTCACGTCCTCGATGAAGTGACAATCACACAGGCACCAAGGCAAACCAAAAGTCACCAACGCAAGGGAGCGTACGCTAAGTGTCAAATAAGTAAAACAGAAAAGTCTCTAAAACTTAAAGAGAGGCTGGAGCAGCCCCTGCAGGGCAGATGACCGGAGAGGGCTTCTTGGCCATGGCCTTGGGAAGACCTTGCTGGCCACTGATTCTCCAGGGTGGGGCTGTATGCGGGTGTTGTGAGAAGGGATGCTGCCCCCGTCCCAGGAGCCCTGCCTCCTGCCTCAAGCTCTCGGTGGTCTCCAGGGCTCTGGCACCAGGTGAGGGCAGCACCCGCCTCTGCCTGCCCTCTGCAGTTGGTCCTGCTACAATTCACGCACCCGATGCACGTGCCAGGGAGACATGTGAGAAGCACACGGTTAAAATCTCCAGGCTCCTCCGACACGCTCCCCTAACCAATCCCTACATCTAGTCTCACTGGGATGGAAAAAATATATTTGAACATTCATTCTGGTGTACAGGTACAAAGGAGATCATTATTCCCTTTCACTGTTCAAGATAAAACAGGACAGAACAGGCTGAAGGTGCTCTGGCACAGTTCAGATTTCTAACAAGTGACCCTAAAAATAGATGCTGTGAAATGAAAGGCAATAAAAAACACCTTAAAAATACAAAGTTTAGTCTTGTCAAAAAAAAAAAAAAAAGACCCGAATCTGATTAAGCCTCTAGATTCAGCTACTAATTTGCAAGAAAAAAAAAAAAAAAACAGAGGATAAAGACATCTGTTAAAACAGAGTACACTAGAAAATCAGTAAAATCCAGACTGTGGGAAAACGTACAGGACAACAAAGCTAGGTCCTTCGACAAACTGTAAGAGAGACAGTTAGAGACAGGAAAAACTATATATCAAGAGACTTAAAAGGCCTGCTGACCAAGTCTAACAAGTGGATGTTGATTCAAATAAACTACTAAAAATACCAAATTTTAAAAAACAGTAGAAGTCTGAACATTGATTAGGTATTTGATAGCATTATGAAATTATTCTTTTTCAGATGTGATAATGGTATGGTGGTTGCATTAAACAAAAAAATATTCTGACCTTCTTTTAGGGACGCACCCTGAACTATTAAGGGTGGATCTGTTTCAAAATAATTCAGCATGGGGATGGTGGGTGGAGAACACAAGGAAACAAGAAATCCATGAGGTGGCCACTGTTGAAACTGGATGATGGACGGGTACCTGAGGGGTCGTCTACTTCCACATACGTTTGAAATTTTCTATGGTTATAACGAAAGCGTGAGTTCATTTTCTGGACCAAGTAAGTGAAAAGTGAAGAATCTTAAGCTTAAATGTAAAATAAGACTTTTCTCCAAAATAATAAAACAAATAAGAAGAGTAGACACAGATTGGTAGGTTAAGATCCTACTTTACTTTCTTTTTGTTTAATTTAAATTCTATTAATTAACACAGAGTCTATTATTAGTCTCAGAAGTCAAGTTCAGAGATTCATCAGTTGCACAGAACACCCAGTGCTCACCACATCACGCGCCCTCCTTAACACCCATCACCCAGTTACCCCACCCCCCCACCCCCGTCCCCTCTAGCAACCCTGTTTCCTACAGTTCATAATTTCTTATGGTTTGTCTCCCTCTGATTTTGTCTTTTCTTTTTCCCTCCCTTCCCCTATCAGAGAAACACAATTATCATATGATTTCATTCATATGTGCAATTTAAGAAGCGAGACAGAGGATCATGGGGGAAGATCTTACTTCATTTTAAAGAAGAGGAAAAAGTCCCAGGACAGTGGAGCTAGAGGTCCCCAAGGGCTCTGCCCTTCAGAGAGGAAGATCATCCCACAGGGCTTTGCCCATCAAAGTCAGCCTGTGGGGCAGAAACTGCATGGTCTGAACACCCACAAGAACATCTTACGTGGCCTACAAACCACTGTCTGTCATCTTGTACACAGACCCTTGAGCAGCCATACATATGCTATGGGGCACTCTAACTTGTCCTTGTCCCCTCATGGGGCTGAATTCCCATAAGTGAAATAAATGCACGTATGGTGCACCTGCAGAAGGCATCTGACCAGCACCTGCCCAGGTGACCTGTTTTGGATGCTGGGTGGTCTCATGTGTTTAATCTTGACCTTTAGACTAGTGGCCAGTTTTGCGTTATTAGAAGTAGAAGGTCCTGTCTGCAAATTTCTGAAAGAACTTGATGCACAAGGGTTTTCGTTGTTGTTGTTTTGTTTTTTTAAAGAGACACAATGGGGATTGTTGCTAACACTTTTGGGTAAAAAAGTAATGACTTACCACACAAAGAAGCCAAAGCACAACATAGAGTATTTGGGTCTTAGAGAAGAGATCTTGTCCAAATTTTATGCACACGATAGCTTCCAGGAAACCAATGACCCTAGTCAGACGGAACGAGAGATTAAATATTAATTCTTATCATATGCATTATGCATATGCATATATACAGTGCAGGGCTGAGCAAATGCATTACCAGAAATATGCATTATTCCATCATTGTACACTGGTAGCGGGCTCCCCACAAAATGATACATGTTCAATTCCACAGCAATTTCTTCAGAAATAACATATATATTAGATTTAATACAAAGTTTATTTTATTGTTATTTTTTCTTAAGACTTAATTTTTTTAGAGCAGCTTTAGGTCACAACAAAACTGAGGGCAAAGTAGAGAGATCTGCCATATACCTCCCTGCGTGTCACGACCCCTCCCCCAGAAGGGTCCATTTGTTACAACTGATGAGGCTACAGGGACATATCAACACCACCCAAAGACCACAGTTCACATCAGCGTTCACTCCTGGTGTTGTACATTTTGTGGGTTTGGACTAATGTATAGTCATCTGCATCTACCATTATAGGATCCAGCCCTAAAAACCCTGTGTTCTGCCTATTTGTCTCTCCATACCTCCCCAGATAGAATAAAATATTTTTTACATCTTCCTTTCTCCCAGACCAAATATTTTAATAGCCGGAAGCCTCCAACTCAGCCTATCACCATTGGGGTGAACTGTCACTGCCCCTGTTGGAACCTACTTATTCTGCCACTCGATCTCGTCAGCTGTTTGCAAGTTTTCCTTGTCTCAGGCTGGTATCTGCCTCCTTTTGCCCATGGATCCTGTCCTCCAGTCATACAGGGCGAGTTCGAGCCTTCTGAGTAGCCTTTCAGTGACTTGAAGGCAGCAGTCACGTTCCCTCCCAGACTTCGAAGCCTTTCCAGATTTAATAGTCCCCGTTCTTGCTGACCATATAAATAATCCTTTATCCTCCACACATAAAAATGTTAAAGAAAACAATTTTGTTTTACTCTTTAGTTAAAAGAGCAAGGTTCTGCAGCATCTTCACTTATGAATATAAAGATCAGATCTTTACTAAAGTTCAGAGGTTGAAGGTAAGAACAGAGGAAGTGACGATGATAGCGCTGGCCGTGTGATCCCAAAGACTACCCAAGAATGCTGATTTCACACAACTCCACGTTAGGTGTTCCTAACTCGAGATGGGAATCTGGTCAATCAGGGATTGGTGTAGTTGCACGGATACTCTCTCAAAAGGCAAGAAGGGGCTCAGGAGGTCCTCGGTCCCCCTACCCAAGGGCAGACACAAAGGTCACTGACATCATCAAATGTATGGATGGCTCTAAACAACGGAACACCTCAAATCTGAACCGAAGCAGAAAATCTCCTTAACGCATCATTAGAGAGTTTGGGGTTCTTTTCCCTTAGCCCCGACCAAACAATGTTTAGGAGCGGTTGGCCTGAATCTCTAAAGACCACCTCCACCCCACACCACCCCCAACAAAGCATCATTCTCTCTGGGATACAGTGCTGGGCTGAGTGTCACCAGAATGCTCAAGTCAGGACTGTGAGCTGACGCTAGATGGCAGCACAGCACAGGCAGGGGCCTGGGGGGGAGGGGGGACTCCGAAAAAATACTTAACCTTTGGCTGGGGCTTCCTGAAGAATTACAAGAGCAAGTGCTCAGCCCAGGAAGTCAGGGTGCTCATCTGCCCTTCAGCCAGATGAAACACCCAGTTTACTGTGAGAGTTTTGGGTATTCTACTCGATCCAGTCACCTTTCAAAACCACAAGAACTAGGGCTGTGATTCTCAAACTTCTATGACCTGAGACCCACAGCAAGAAAACACATTTTTGTGTCACACACACACACAAAACTGAAACAAAAGTTCCACAAAACAATTTGTTCCTTTACTTTGATATTTTTGTATTCTGTTTCGTTTTAAGAAAACGCTGGTCAGAACCCACCTAATTGACTTCATAATGGCCGGAAGTTAGAGACAACACAGCGTTTCAGTCAGCGACTTCAGGGTTAGGATTTGCTCCCTCGTGCTGAGGGATCTTAGCTAAGCTGTGGTATCTGCGTGTGGCCTTCTCAGTGAGCACGTGACCACTGAGCAAAGTTCCGTGGCAGGAAGTGAGGGGAAAGCGGAAGAGATGAGGCACACAGCAACATGGGTCTTGAGGGCCACGTGAGGGTGGGGCTTTTAGTCTGAGGAATGGTTTCGAACAAAGGGCAAAGCAAACATGACTCAATTTCCATTTTCATATGGTCATTCTGGGGGTAGGAGCAGGGAGGTTTCTAATGTGGGGAGAGGACCAGGGGAGTTGCTATGGAGGTGTGAGAAGCAGTGGGAACTGGGATGCATTAAACCCAACAATCACATGGACCCTTCTGCCACCAGTCATTGCCCCCCACCATTATCCCTGGCCCCCTCTGAGGGAATCCTGATAAAGTCCTTACGGAAGGCTGACATTACTTTGTACAAGACCCAGGCTGACATTACTTTGTACAAGACCCAAGTGGCTGCTCATTTAGGGCTGAGTCCAAAGTGTACCTGAGCCTGTCAGCAGCAACAGCACAACCTCCTCACCAAGGGGGTGGGGTGGGGCACAAATTTACATCTCTCTGATCTTTACCAGACTGAACTCAGTGGCCAGATCGTGGTTTGATGGAATTCAGTCGTGGCTGTTACTCTCTTTGATGCCTCTGCCCATCCTTATCTTTAATCAGCAAGGTTAGAAGGCAACCAAACATCTGGGCTGCCTGAGGTGCTCCTGCCTGGGGACGAGGCTGGTCTGCTGACTCGGACCTTCTCGGCTCCCCTTCCCTGGGGAGCGTGCTCCTTCCAGACATGGTGCAAATAAAGATGACATTAACGTAGAGTCCAGGGTAAGGAGCTCCTCAGTGGGTAGGACAAGAACGTAGGCAGGTACATTGCAGAAACTTGAGACACAAAAGCACTGGGCATATGAGCCAACCCGGAGAAGCAGAGGATGTTTTCAGTTGGCCAACAAAACCCACTTTAGGAGGATGCCACAGCCTGGGTGCACCCGGCATGTACTGAGCACAGTGCCCCCTGGCTGCACGGGAACCCACTGCTGGGATGGCTCACGGTGGGACCCTCCTGCAGTGGAAAGGAGGCATGGACACACGGGACACACGGGACACACCTCCCACACAACCACACAACCACACAGGTCCCCAGGAACTGGGTTCCGGTTCTGGTTAGGGTGAGCAAAGACAGCTTTTTAGAAGTGATACTGAGCGAGGCTTTACCAGATAGAAATAAAAGGTCCAACTGTGTTCCATGAACTTTCTGACTTCCCAAGAGCCCCAGGGGCAGGGGGGAAGGGCGGGAAGAGGGGCAAGGGTCCTGGGTGTATACCCAGGACGGTTCTACTCAACTGTCTTTGCTATTAGCGTTTGGGGAGCAGAATTCAGCTGCTGAAAAAGTTTTCGTACCTCCTACCAGAGGTTTTGGGCTGTCAGTGGAGGTGTTTTTGAGGAAGGAAGCAGGGAGTGGCGGGATCGAGGATGGGATGAAGGGAGAGACAGTGGGAAAGGGCAACCAGCTACGAAGTTACCCTAGGAGTGTGAGCACAGAGGGCATGACCCAGAGATGGGCAGAAAGGGTCGGGGGGGGGAGGGACGCAGGAGGCTGTGAACAAAGGTCAGCAGCAAGAGATGGGGGACTGGGTCATGCTGGGGGAGACCAAAATGGGATGAGGCCTCCCACACAGGTCTGTTCCCTTCACACACACCCTCCTCCTGGAAGGACCCTGTGCCTCCCAGCTGTCGTCCATCCTTCCAGGAGAGGTGGGGGGGAAACCCCAAAAAAGGCTGGAAGAACAAGCACAATTATAAGAAATTGTGGAGTGGAGTGAGACGTGGAATGGGCAGCCAGCAGAGGAAGCTGAGAAGGAACAGAGAAGTAGGAGGAGAACCAGGCCAGCTACTGCAGAAGGAAGAGTTTCAAGATGGCAGATGCTGGGGAGAAGACAGGAGAGCTGCGGAGGGAGGAAGGACTGATTCGGGACTGGCCTTGGCCAGACAGTTCAGCAGAGCACCGGAGACAGCAGCCGATTGTCAAAGGGGCACCAGCAGGGTTAGGATGACATGGAGCTAAGGGCAGTTCTGACAGTGAGGTGGACGCGGTCCTGGAGCCCCCCGTGCTCAGCAGACTCTTACCCAACACCCCCAAGGTCCCAGCCAGGAACTTTCTCGGGAAGGAAAAGTGACGGCTCACTCCGGCAACAGCTAAAGCTTTTGGATTCCTTCCTTCAGGGCCACATGATCAAACATCCTTTCTTTATACATCAGGCTACTTCTCTCCTGTTTGGAAACTCAATTATAATGAGGGATGCGTGGGGAGAAAGATGAAGATAAAGATGGTATAAAGTGCACCCCTGGGGAATCTGTTCATATCGGTCTGGCCCTAATGCCCCCACACAGCTGGAAATAGCGTGATGGGACTTTCTAAAGAGAGGAGGGGCCAGCTTTTTCACACTACTGCTTTCTCCTTGGTGGGGTTCCCATTCCTGAGCTGGATGGAGTCCTATCTCTCTGCTGGGCACAGCGTAGTTGAGTATAAAAGGCTTAAAAGCTCAGGTCTATGGCGCAACTGTGGGAGACCACACTGTAAGTCTGTATTTAGTTACATCAGCGAGTAACTAATACAAACTTTTTCTGGGTATAACAGTTACAGGAGAAAAGAGTGCCCTCTTCAGGAGAAAAAATTGTGGAATGGTGGGAAAGACACCTCAGGGGGTCCTGTTTGCCTTTTCCCCTCCCCCGCCCACCTCCCCCAAAGCAAAATTCCACTGTCACTACTAGGGGCGCTCTACTCTGTTCCCGCACATCTCCACACCGTGCTAAAGCCTGAAATTACCTAAAATTAGTGAAAAGGAAGCTACAAAGCAGCTCCTAGTTATTAAAAGAAATGAGACATTTAAACATTTGCAGTTTTGTTTTTGTGAGAGAGAGTGAGTGTGTGTGTGTGAGCTAGGGGAGGGCAGAGGGAAGAGAGAGAGAATCCTCAAGCTGGGTCCATGCTCACCGCTGAGAGCCGGATGCAGGGTTCAATCTCACAACCCTGAGATCATGATCTGAGCTGAAATCAAGGGTGGGACGCTTAAAGGACGGAGCCACCCAGGCGGCCCAACATTTGCTGTTTTGATAGGAGACGGAAATAACACAAGATGAAGGCGGCAGGGAGACAGGGGGAGGGATGGGGCAGAAGAGGGGAGGTGGTTTTCCAAGGGGCAAAGCTGCAGAGGGAGGAGACAAGGCTCAGGCCCTGTTGTTTCTCCTTCGCCGGCTGACGGGAGGTGGCTCTTGCCAGTGTCCACACACCCAGGCGGATGGCTGTGTGTGATTCATGGAGAGGCCTTTGTTATTTTCAGCATGACCCACTAGTTCTCAAGATTCCGGAGTCCTGATACCACCCTGCTGGGAGCTCTCCATTCTGAAGAAGCATACTAAATAAGCCCAATGAGCACTCCTTTGCATTTTGCTTTATTTTATTTGATCACTTTCAACAAGTTGCGACTTTTCTGTTAGCATTTTCTGCCACTTGGGCCCTGTTGATTTTGCCATTTCTCCCACCACCAGGGATTGTATTTTTTGGCTGCCTGATGAGAAACCAACTTTGCTGTAGCACCACCTCTCTCTCTGATCACTATCTCCTTTCCCTCAACAGGTAAACAGAGATGGTTGTGTGGAAAATACGTCTACTTGCAGTGGACTGAAGACTGTGGCAAGGACTTCAGAATATGAAGAGAAAACTGCATGTGGACAGAAGGCTCCCGTAAGCGGTGGGGGAGGACTCAAATGCTCTGGAGACAAGGAGATGCAAAACTAATGCTTCTTGTCCTCTCTTTGGGCGGGACAGGAATAAGGACAGCCCACCTCCCTCCTCTGCATGACTCAATAAATGTGCCCTCACACGGCCTCTGCTCAGTCTATGTAAGTAAGTTCTCTCTCCTGTCAGATCACTAAACAGTGGAAAGCTAATCCATGTTATCACGTGGTAAGCTACTCTGGGTATGAAAATCAGTTGATAGTACAGAATGTATGAGAAATAAGGACAATGACCCTTTGTGTTCTGGGAGGGGGGAAAAGCCTGCCTACAGCGAACTTGAGTAACCCCTTAGACTCTGAAATGAGAGCTGGACACACACACACACACACGCACAGAAATGTTTAGAAGGAATAACATAGAAATGTTAACCACAATTATCTCTGACTGGGTGACTTCTTTGGATCATCTTTAGTTTCTTCTTTTGCCACTTTTTTTTTTTTTTAAAGATTTTATTTATTTATTTGACAGAGAGAAATATAGCTAGAGAGGGAACACAAGCAGGGGGGCGTGGGAGAGGGAGAAGCAGGCTTCCCGCGGAGCAGGGAGCCTGATGTGGGGCTCGATCCCAGGACCCTGGGATCATGACCTAAGCCGAAGGCAGACACTTAATGACTGAACCACCCAGGCGCCCGCCCCTCTTTTGCCACTTTTTTATCTATACATATGTATTACCATTTTAACTGGGAAAAATAAAGTTAACTCTGCTTAAAAATCTGTTGAAAGCAGTAATTTCTTCCCCACTATGGGTACTCATCAAATTTTCTTTATGCCACCACACTCAATTTAGAACCTAGATTAGGTCTTGAATCTAAGCTGCCTCAGGGATTGAACCTCACACACAGATGTGCTGGCCATCTCTGGAACCTCAGTTGCTACGGGGAATGGTAAACTGTGGGTGATATCTAAGCAAAAGAACCACTTAACTGAGATACTGAAGATGGTCTCGCATTTAACACTGCGGGGTTAAACTACATAGCCTATGGTCTCTTCCAAATCATTTTTTTTTCTTTCAAGATTTTATTTAAATTCTAGTTAATTAACATATAGTGTAGTGTTAGTTTCAGGCACAGAATTTAGTGATTCATCAGTTGCATATAATACCCAGTGCTCATTAAAATAGTGCCCTTCTTAATGCCCATTACTCACTTACCCCATCCCCCCGCCCACCTCCCCTCCAGAAACCCTGTTTGTTCCCTATAATTAAGAGTCTCTTATGGTCTTTCAAAACATTTAAATAATAATATATTAAGATAACATTGGTATCTGTAACAAGACAATAAATTGTGACCATGTGACTATGTGTTAGCTCTCTTTGGAACAATAAAATTATGCCTTGGTAGGTAGCAAGCAGCTGTTTTAAGGGGCCTTTCTGATGTGAAAGTAACATAAAGCATCAGTAAGCCTATCACAAAATGATGTCCCAAACTTGTCACTGAATTTAGAGGGAATTTGAACAATCCATCATCTATTTATTTCATAAAATAAAGCCTCCCACGTTCTATGCAGAAAATATCTTTTGGTTTCCTATTTTTCTTAAAAAGCAGTTTGTATATCATCTTTTCTATAATTTGCCAATCAACTACAATATTCTAAACTTAAATCAGAAAAGAGAATGTTAAAAAAATGAAAAGACATATAAAAACAACAGCAAGCCTTCATAGGAAAATTGTACTGAGAGGCACTTAATGTAGGGTCAAGAACCAACCAAGGAAATTTAAAGGCTCAAGTGGTGTTGAAATGTCCACAGTAAGAGATTATTACTCACCCAAATACCCAGCACTGTGTTCCTACGCGTTTGCACTGTGTGTCAGTGAGGTAAGCATAGTACTGCCTGAAAGAACAAAGGTGGAATTCATTGAGAACTTCTGGAAGACCAAGGAGTTGGTACAGAATTAAATCACTTTGACAGAGTAAATATAAAAGATGTTCCGTCTGGTTCTACACTGCAGCTGCCCGGTCTACTTCTAGTCCAGGGAATAGGAAGCTAGTGCCTGCTGAAACATTCCTGTAAAAGGTTAAGAGTTCAGGCTGGATTTGGAAGGAGAGAGCATGGTTTAAAGAGCCAATTATTTGCAAAGGCGGTTTTGATTCAGGGACAAAATGGGTGCTTCAAATCTCTCTGCGTGGAAGTGGTTCCAGACGGTCATGTACACTGTTAGTCACGGTCTCCTCTGGCACTCTCCAGGACAAAGGTTGCTGATTGTAACCCAGGCAGGGCAGACACACATTTTTGGCTCTCAGGAACTGGAATGGGACCCCGGTGGCAGTTCACTGCGCACTGAATACCAACGATTTTGAATGCTACTGATGAGATCAGAAAAAAAGAGGCAATGATACGGAGTTGTAAGGCTTAGAGCAACACTGTCTAATAGATATGTAATACAAGCCACAAGTGTGATTTAAAATCTTCCCGCGGCCATGTTAAAGAAGTAAAAGGAACAGGCAATATTCATTCTAGTAACCTATGTTATTTAATCCAACATACTGAAGACAGCTATCATGAAGTATTTTACATTGTTTCTGCGCTAAGTCTAAAATATGGTGTGTATTTGCCTCGTATAGCACATTTTAACGCAGACTAGTCACATTTTCACTGCTCGACCGCTACCCGTGTAAGCAGCTGCCGTTTAGCCCAGCACAAGCCTAGACCCTCAAAACTACTCCCAAACTCAATCCATCCCTTCAGAAGTAGCATCTGAAGCAGGAGCTCATCCTCTTTATGGGGGTCACAGACTCTGAGGATTTAATGAAACCCATGATCAAGGCACATGAACACCCATACACACAAAATTTTGCATTAAGCCTCAGGGGATTCGTGGATACCTGAAGGTCATCCACAAACTATCATCTCCTCACGCCAAAGGCCTGAGTGGAGAATTCTAGTCATAAAGAATTCAGTTCTACCTCTAACTTCACATTTTCATAACCTAATATGCTTTTACCAGTTTAGCGACTCTACTCTCCGATCGCACCCATCCCCTTAGACTGCATTTTATATTATCAGATTCAAAAAATGTTCAGTCAAACATCTTCTCAAAGCAAGAGAGTCGAATTGAAAGGGAAGAAAACAGAGATATGGTCTGTATGATTTATCCTGAAGCCTGAAGGCTTCCTCTCCTTTTAGGGGCCTGGCACCCACTCCTTGGAGCAGCTGTGTTAAAACCCGCTAGGAGCACCTCCATCTTTCCAAGCAGCTTGTCACAGCGTCTTCTTACGCAGGAAATGCCTCGGGTTGGTATAAAAGCATAGAGAAAGTGGCTGATTTTTAAACAAAAAAAGAATCGTGTAGAAACCCATAGGGTCCGGCAAAAATGTTAAGCTCTCAAAAAAACTCAAAATACTGGGCATTTAGTCTCCAGTTTTTGTTTTGAGATGTTTAACGATATTGAAATTTCATGATCAATCAGATGTGGTTTGTGCTTCTGTTTTATAAGAGATTTCTTTTCCCCGCATACTGACTTTGTTGATTATTCCTAATTTTATGAAGAAGCTGCTGCTAATCTTTCTTGAAGATAATTGTGAGCCTCAAATTAAATTAAATTTTAAATGAGAGAAGGAAGTTCCAATCCACCAAGGGAAAATAGCATATTTACAAGAAAATGGCTTCAACAGGCCACTGGTCTGTGACATGTCAGAACGCTGCCTGCCTACCAACTGCTGGTTTCCCGTTTGGTTCATAATGAACACCAGAGATAGAATTTTGGGCCTCGACTCCACAGGACTCAGTTGTATCTTATTTGTTCAGTCCAGGATCTGGGGGGAAATATATATAGATAGATGCAGATACATAAATATCTATAGAGATATATATTATATATAATACATCTATATATCTATATACGTTGTTTCCTTTTTGTAATAATTAATGAGGATCAGAAGACATGCTGGCTGGAGTAAGGTTTGTTTGACCAAGAACACCCCACTCTTCTTGGCAAGTGAGGCCCTCTGCTTGTGTGGTATGCAAGCACACTAAAAATGGTGAATTAAGTTATCCCACAGATTCTGGAAAGCTAACCCTTGTAACTGCTTAGTTTATATTTGAATCAACTGCGCAGGTATCTTTGGTGTTACTTACTACTGTTTAATGCCGGTGCTCCAATGTTAATTGTAAAACCCAAATGCTCTAAGTAGGAAAAATTAAACAGATGAAACTATGTCTGTCTGATATTCACTGGAATCAGTCTACATGAAGGGCAGTCTCCAAAGAACGCCTCACCTCTGGGGCCCTACCCGAATTGGGGGAACAAGAGCATGAATATCCAAGCTTACCTCAGTTGTCCTGGAGGATGACAGGAAGGACATTGTTAAAAGGAAATTAACTGGCTCTAAAAGAGCGAATAAAGTATCATTCTAAAATAACGTCATTTATGACTTCTGATCCACCATTAAAACTTTCGTATTTTTTAATCACCTCATTTTAGAAAAAAAGCATCACTGCTACCCCCTTTTTTTTTTATTTAAAGGATGTTAAACAGGGGTAAAAAAGGAACAGCAGTGGAGGATGATAAAAAGGTTTGAAGATAATGGTGTGTGTGGTGTTCTCACTTCATGTGACTCAGGTCTGAGAGCAAAACATTTTCTTCATATTCAGATGTATAATCCTTTAATATTTTCAGGGAAAATCTGCTAGTTTACGTGACTTTCCTTATGCTGAACAGGAGAATACATAGCAGGTTAACGTGCTCAAATGACAAGTCAGTCTTGTATATTACAAATTACAATTACCTCACTGTGGGAGCCGTGATGCCACCAATAAAGAGAATTCTACACCAACTTAATGGATGACTGGCTTGGAACACAAAGATATGTTTCAAGAAGAAGGTATTCAACTCAGTTAGCTGAAAAAGAAGGAGGCATTAGTCAACTTGATACCACATGCTAAGTCATAATAATATATTCCTTGTTATGGACACTCTTAAAAAAATAACTAGTATGTTCAAAGCATTTTCAGAAAATAGATGGGGTCTTCAAAGTTGCTACAGGAATAGTTGCTATTTTTAAACTAAGTAACAGCCAGTACAATATTGGCACCAACCAACTGGGGGTTACAGGGGAGGTGCTGGAGTGGGGGAAGGGGTATATGGTGGCATCAGCTGTCGTGTTTCCTGGGGCGTGGCTGTCACTTGGGTCATGCACGATCTGCTGGAACAGTTGGGAGAGAGATGCTTTGAGAACAGCAGAAATCACGAAGACAAGTATTTGCCATGGAACACTTATGCAGTCTTACAGAAATCAGGCCGGGTCTAACAGATGTAGGACTGTAGGAAAGTGAGCTCTTTAATCACCAGAAGAAGCTTGAGAATGAGCAATGACTGGGAATGCATGTAGCACGTGCCTTGGCCAAAGGCAGCTCTTAAAGGTGGGTGTGAAGGGTTGGGTCAAGGTTTCGTCTACCGGCTGCGGTCCTTTTCCGTGAGGTGAGCATCCCGGTGCAGCTCATCCCATGAGGCAGACGGGGATGTGTTCCCTGCCAAGCCGGCCTGGGCGCATTTCCCATCCAGATTAAGCAAGGAGCGGAGATTAGGGAAGGTCACTGCTTGGAAAACATGGACCAGCAGGCTCATTTCAGTGACGTAAGACATGTGTCTTTTCCCATAGCACTGATTTTAAGGGTATAAAATTAAAAAATGGTCCACTAATTACCACACACGTGGAAAGCTGGTTAGAGCTCGGTGCTCGTGCTCACTGGAAAGGTGTGCTCCGGGTAATGCTGCCCTTCTAGGAGCACAGCCTGCTATCTCTCCTGGGCAAATCCAAACTCCTGCTCAGTTCATGGATTAAAGGAAAACCTACACCTTCCTGGATATTGCTTTCATGTGGTAAAACTTAATCCCCATCCATTTAAACTCCCATTTTTATACATACGGACTTCCCCAAACCACAGTGACTATTTTAACTATTCACATACACTTCTGTATCCCTAAAGTCCATTTACTGAGATTAGCATTAGTATTCTCCACGTGTGGACCAGGACGATTGTTTTAAGGTGACACATGCTTATTTTTTGTTATGCGGAGAGTATTTTGTGCATGTGTTCAAAATATAATTTCTCTTCAGGCAAAAGCTAGTCTCCCAAAGTTGTAAAATAATTAACCTGGGGGCGGGAGGATCAACACAAAAGGCTATCTCTAGAAAACAGAGATGTTTGGTAATCCTTTTCCAAGACCCTTGCCTGTCTCAATCATTTCAAGCACGTAGTGGGCTGCGTGGAAGGAGACCTTCCCTCCACTGACAGCACCTTCCTGGAGGACCCAGGTCCCCAAAGTGCTCCAGTGCCCCACAGGGAGTTGAGGGCTTCTTTACTCAGCTCTCTACATATTACCCAGAGTGGTAACAGCTGAGGCACAATTTTAAAAATCAAACATTAAAATTGGAATGTAAGAAAAAGCCTTTGCATTTGTTCCTTTGGTCCTGCAAATGATCACTCCGAAAAGCTATCCAATGCCTAACTCCTTGGGTGACAGATGCTGACCAAAAGCTTCTTTTGGGGAATTTTAAGCTGTTTCTAATTTGCAATTCAAAGAAAGATACTTGAAAATGTCTTCCCCAGGAAGCAAGACCTTAGGCGTGATAACACCATTTGGTTTAATTATTCTACATGTCAGCTGCAGGATCTTCGGTCTTCCGAACCAGCCAGCAGCAGCTAAGCAGTGTCAATTAGCATTAACTCTAAATTCCGGGATGGTTCTTATTTTGCTTTTGTACTCTGCGCCGCCCCCCCCCCCCCCCACCGAGTTCTGGGCATCTGAAAAAATACCTGCCAGATGATCATGAAAAGGTATATTCCAGCCACTCTCTGAAATGAAGATTTGGGGTCAAACCATCGAACGTAGGTCCAACTAGCAGGAGTAAACTGGAGCACAGCTCTTTTGATTTTCCCGGTGGTGGTGTGGATGTCTCTGTAAGAAGAGAATGGCCCTAGTGAAAATCCGAAGAGATAAGGAAGAGAAAGAAGAAAAAAACAAAAAGACAAGAAAAAAATAAAAAAACCCGGCACTGACAATTTTACAACACATGCTCAGAACAAAAAGATTCCTGTCGAGTCGAACCGTCTCTCCAACAATGATGTCTCTATCCATACGAAGTGTGGAAAGCTGTGTATTCGACGGGGCATTTCAGGGGTGACAGGCACTGGGCACAGGTCAGGTCACTGCAGAGCCAGGAGGGCCTTCACTTGTGAACGGGTGACAAAACAGGCTGAGGCATTAAGCACCTGGAACCAGGCCGGGGAGAATGAGGGTGCCGGCAGGGATAGGACCCCACCCGCTGTGCATCTCCCAAGTCAGGGCATTTTAGTGAAACAGACAACTTGCTCCACACTCTGAGGTCACCCACACCATTTCTTCATCCTACGTGTTCCTAAGATAAGCGAACAGTTGGGGATGACAAACGGCGATTTTTAACCTTCCTTAGTTTTAATCCTAGAAATCACTCAGTTAAAAACTTCAAACGCTCATGCCAGAACAGGTCAGGCCTTTTATTCTTGTGAGAGAAGAGGTGAGGGTTTGTTCCTTCATTCATTCACCTAACCCATCAACAAGCATGTACTGAGAAAATCTCGGGGCGCCTGGGTGGCTCAGTCAGCTAAGCATCTGGTCATGATCCTGGAGTCCCGGGATCGAGTCCCACATCGGGCTCCTTGCTCATCAGGGGAGCCTGCTTCTCCCTCTGCCTGCTGCTCCCCCTGCTTGTGCTCGCTCTCTCCCTGACAAATAAATAAATAAAATCTTTAAAAAAAAAAAAAAGAAAAAGAAAATCTCACAGCAAGAAGATTGGAGGCACAAAAGCAACAACAACAACAAAAAAACAGAGATTAGCCAAAAATAAACAAAAACTATGAAGGACCTATATTTAAAAAAAAAATAGCCAACTATATGGAAAGAGGAAGAGGAATCTGGGAATAGAGAGAGTGACACAGTGGGATTAAGTATTGGAAAATGCTTAATACAGATCTTTCTCAATTTACGACGGGGTTCTGTCCTGAAAGACCCGTCATAAATTGGAAATATCTTAAGATGAACATGCACTTAACACACCTAACCCACCAAACATCATAGTTGAGTTCAGCCCACCTTAAACTTGCTCTGAACACTTATATTTGTCTATGGCAGTTGGGCAAAAGTCTAACACAAAGCCTCTTTGACAATCAACTGTTGAGTATCTCATGTAACTTATGGAATACTGTACTGAAAGTGGAAAAACAATGGTTGTCTGGGTGCAGAATGGTTGTGAGTATCTTGGTTGTTTACCCTCATGATCGCCTGGCTGACCGGGAGCTGTGCTACCACCACCCAGCATCATGAGAGGGGGTCCTACTTGCAGCCCTAGCCCGAGCCAAGATCCAAATTCAAAACTCAAAGTATCATTTCTACTTTCACACTACTGTAAAGTCAAAAATCATGAAGTCAAACCATCGTAGGTCAGGACTGTCTGTAAAGAGGCCAATTCAACTTTATATTAATTTATACATTTGACATTAACATAAAAAAATACACCAGTGGGATTTCTGCTTATTAGTTGGGCTTGTGTTTTGGTAAACTCACAAAACGACTCTCAAGTTGAATCTAAAGCATAAATGTATGAAAACGGGGAAGCGTTATGGCAGTGTGTAAAGACCCAGGCAGCCTGATGTAAAATCAGACTCAGCTGCTTGCTACCTGTGTGTCCTTGGGCAAACTACTAAACCTAGTTCTCACTGTCGCCGTCCCTAGAAGGAAGAGAGAAGTAGTGTCAATCCCTAGGACTGAGGTCAGGCTCAAATGAGAAAGCTTGCTTACAGCACCATCTGGCACAGCTATGGTTTTTGTTCCATTATATACAGTCTTAACTATATTAAAAAGTGTGTTTCAAGCCAGTACCCGAAGAAAGGGTTACTTAAGAAGGAGTGGGGAAAACTGTTGAATCAATTGCAAAAACACTATGAAATTCCTCCCTCACACCATATACCAAATTAAGTTTGAGAAAGATTAAGTAAGTTACTCATAATAAAAAACCAAACCATGAAGAACTGGAAGAAAAATACAGGTCAACATTTACCTAAACAAAAAGACTAAAAGTTTTTGAAGTTTAAACAGAGTACCTACCACAAAGAAAATGAAAGCTGGATGACAAAATGGAAAATGAAGTCACATTTATGAGAGTGTTAATACCCTTAACCTAAAATAAAAAAAGCACTAATAAAAAGAGGGAAAACCTAATAGACATAGCCCAGAAATTCAGTATCTCACAATTCTATGTGGGATAACACTGAAGAAGGATTAAAGGTAAAATTCAAAGCAACAGTGAAATGGACACATATATACATTAGTGAACATGGGTGAGAATATAAATGGGTATAAATAAATCTATTTGCAGAAAAAAAGTCAGAAATTAACACAAAGATATATGTTCAAGAATGTTCGCTCTAGCTTTCTTCATAAAACTGAAAACTTTGAAACAACTAAATGACCACAAAAGGGAACTGGTTAAATACCTCATGATTCATTCATAGGATGGGATCTGAAGAAGCCCTTAAAATCATGGTTTAGGAGACTAACGATGTGGGAAAATGCTTTTTTGTTTGATAAATAAATGAAGGTGAAAACACAATAAAAACAACTACTTTCATGATCGCTTTCCCTCCTTGTCAGCGGCACAGTTCCTGTGACCGTCAAATTGAGGAGTGAGTTCAGGGGAGCAGGCTGAGCCATGACAGAGGTAGGCGCTGTCTCCCACGGTGGCACAGAGGAGGGACGTGTGACTTGAATCAGAGAGTCAGAGACAACTACCTGGAGAGGTATCAAGGGAGTCAAGGTAGGACAGGAGAGGACCCATCACCCTGGCACATGGGGACACAGGTCAAACCCAAGTCCAGAGGCGCACGTGCTCGGGCTCAGAACCTCGGGTGCCCCAGAGGGCCTGGAGAAAAGGAGCGGACCTGCCCAGCCCCCTCTGTGCACCTTGTCCTAAACACCATGAGAAGCCATCACAGAGGAATGACACAATGAATCTGACGTTCTGAAAAAGATCGCTCGGAGGGGGTAACGGGGGAACAGGGGGCTAATTAATCCAGTGATGGCAGGGTGAATGCAGGCTGAGGCATTAAGCATAAAAATAAAATGGATGGGAGAAAATCATAAATGATTTGGCATTTTTCTGGATGAATGCCTGGAATTAGGTCTATAATTGCTCATGAGTTTCAATTACTAACGTGCAATTTATTTCTTATCATCCAAGACTGTACTGAAGTTGCGTGCTCCTAACTCGGTGAAGGGCGCATTGTGAAACCCTGTGACTCGTGTCCAGAAAGAAGGCCACTCACTTGAAGCTCGCCCAGTGGTAGGTCCTCATCTCCAGAAAGCGGCAAACAACCATGCCCAGCCAGATGCCGCCACCATTGCACAGCAGGATGTCCAGGATGACCTGATCCCACCAGCACTCGGCGAAATTGGGCAGCAGATGCATGAAGAAAAGCTGAGAAACACAAGAGACCATGGTTTTAAAAACAAAACTGCAGAACGACAGAGTTCCTTTGACAAACATATTCCATTAGGAAGAGTTGTTGACGTGTCAGGTTTTCCTAATGTATGAATGGAATAAATAAAAACAATGTCTGTGATTAGGTTTGTGTTTTATGCTGTGGACGGTTTACAAATATTATGAATCCAAACAGTTCTTTTTTTTTTTTTTTTAAATAGGGCTTTAAAGAAATGATAACTGCTCCTGAAAAAATACCATTGATGAACGACCTTGGCTAAGGACAACAAGACAAGGATCTAGGAGGGGGGGAGGAGAAAAGTCTTCATACCCGCCAACAGAGCGCTGGCATAATCCTCAAAATTAGCAGCTTGACAGTTCAAGCTGCGCATTTTAGAAATATTCCATAGATATTTAGGTAAAACAGCGAGGAAACTGCAAAAGTAGAAAGGTTAGGTTTTGATGGCATGTTTTAGGAAACCCATAGCTTAACAGAAAGCCTTTCAATAACCGATTCGCAATTGTAATCTTATTAAAAGTGCTTATGATGCACAAGTGGTGAGGCAAAATAAAGTCAAGTTTCTTGATCTCAAGGGCAGGAGTCAGACATTTATCTAGGACCACAAAATAAGGTAGGCTGTGGCAAATGTTTCCATGGCGACATAAACAGAGCATGGTGGGGACAAAAGGAAGATTCATTCTGACAGATGGCAACTAGAGCACGACATACTGGACTGGGACCATTAAGGACAGGAATGACTGTTTTCAGGAGATGGAGATGAAGACTGAGGACATTCCAGAAAGGGGGAACAGCAGGATGAAGGGAGGGGGAAGGGGATAGAAATCTCCTATGGAAATAGCTTTGTCCAAAACAAAGAGCAGATCAGCCATGTCCAGAGCAGCATGCCCTGCTGCGTGAAGGCCCATTTTAAGAAGGTCTGACATGACAAAGACCGTGCCTGGGAATTTTCTGGAAAGAGGCAACCTCTGAAGTCGTATGATCAATACTGCGAAATAAAACTGTTTATGAAAGCATTCCAGAGAGGGAAAGCAATGCAAACATCTGAGGAGTCTGCCTGCTTGGCATGCCAGCCAATGAGAAGACAGAGCGCAGCGGCTGGGCATGAAGGTGGGGGGCTGCATTCCTCTCCGAGGCGAGCCAGGCCCAGCCCCTGAGGTGTATTCCCAGGTTCCCAGCCATGGCACGGAGCACTGACTGTTGCTTTACACAAGGAAGAGGGACTCGTCAACAGAAGTCGATGACACACATTTGCTGACATGAAACTATGCAAGGGGAGCGGGATGTGGAGGACGGGCTTCGGCCTCAAGAGCTTTCCTGGAAAGTACCGGATACTGGGGGCGAGACACGCCGTCCAGATGAATGCCTAGAACTCAGGGATGGGACATGGTAAAAGAGCAGGAACGTGGGCTGCCCATCCAGAGCGGAGCACATCCTGGCTCACCTCACGAAGCAAGGTGCTGGGATCTGGCCCTCTGGTCTGTCCAGACCTGAGGAGGAGACACTGCATAGGGCTGGATTCATTCATTCACTCACCAGGAATCTGGGGAGCACCTGCCACTTGTGAGGCACAGTATCTGGTACGATGTGGATACGGGCCCTGCCTTCTCGAGGCCTAACACTTGGCAGCAAAGAGACACTATAAGCATCTAAAATGTGACGACCGTCTCGAAGGAGAAGGGCCAGGTGCTCCATTTGCAGGTGTACAACGTGGAGCGCAACCAGCTCAGGGAGCAGGGAAAAGAGGAAGAGCCTGCAGGTGGGCTCTGGGGTAGGAAAAGACACGGAATCTTTAACACGAGGAAAGCAAAGATGGCTGGATTACAGAACCACAGGATGGGAAGGGTCCCGAGCAGACGGGGGAGGTGGGCCACGGATGGTCAACACTGGGCCTCGCAGGCTGGTCCAGAAGTTTGGATTTTGGATAAACACTAAAAGGTTTCAGTTGAAGAAGGATGTAACCAGATCGAGAGGTGAAAAAGATCGCTTTGGGAAGAGACAGTGAAGGGAGGAGGTGAGTAGTTCAGCCAGGAGAGGACAGGTTAGATACACATCGAGCAGTGGCGTGAAAGATGTGGATGGAGCAGCACGGCTCACGAGAGTCGAGAGGCAACTGAGGAGCAGGGAAGGAAGGCACGGGGCCATCTGTAGTATGAGGGGAGAGAAGCAGGCAGGCTGAGAAAGGCCCGGAGCCTGGCCCAGGGTCCCACAGCAGCGAGGTTAGGAAGATGCCTGGAATTCCGAGAGGAACATGGTGGGAGAGCAGGAACGTGGGCTGCACACCTGGAATCAAGCACAGCTGGAGTCTGATCCTGGCTCACCTCATGAAGCAAGGCTCTGGTTCCTTCCTCTGTCCCCTGGGGATATACTCAGCCTTTTCGGTTTATGGTGAGGATTTAGGATAATACATGTACAGTGTTGGGTACTGTTGTGGGTTGAATTGTGTCCCCTCAAAAGCCACATGTTGAACCCCTAACCTCCAGGCCCTCATGATGTGAACTCAATTTGGAAAGAGAGTTGCTGCAGATGTCATTAGTAAAGATGAGGTCATCCTGAAATAGGGTGGACCTCTAATCCAGTGTGATTGGCGTCCTTACAAAAAGAACGCCACAGTGAATGCACACAGGGAAGACCCCATTCGAAGGCGAAGGCAGAGACTGGGGTGATGCATCTACAAGCCAAGAAATGCCAAAGATGGCCCGCAAGTCATAAGAAGCTGAGAGGCCTGCACCAGATTCTCCTTCACAGGCCTCAAAGGACACCAATCCTGCCAACACCTTGAACTCAGACTTCTAGCCTCCAGGGCTATAAGAGGCACATTAACAGAAGCTTGATGTGGCTGGCATGCTTCCCTAAGTTAGGGTCAAGACAACAGTTGGCATCAAGAAATATACTGTACACATGGCCAAATTTTGTTCCCTGGGAGTGATTAACCAAGAATAATATCATAACTGAATGATAAATGAGTAAGTCCCCCAAATTTCATTTTCCTAATAGTTTTTCAAGATTATATCTCTTTCAGGAGAACCTGGGTGGCTCAGTCAGTTAAACATCTGCCTTTGACTCAGGTTATGATCCCAGGGTCCTAGGATCGAGTCCCACATCGAGCTCCCTGCTCAGCCTAGAGCGCTTCTCCCTCTCCCTCTGCCTGCCACTCCCCCTGCTTGTGCTCTCTCTCTCTCTCTCTGTCAAATAAATAAAATCTTAAAAAAAAAAAAAGACTATCTCTTTCAAATGAGACAAACCTGACTACTGAGATATTAGAGCTATATCAGGAATCCATTTTTCAGCTACAAAATATCCTGGATGCTCCTATAATCCCTAAACACCATAATTCTATTTATCTCAAACTGGAAACTAGCTGGTGAGAAACCTACTTATTTACTTCTAAGCAGATATCATTATCATGTATTTGTGTCACTGGGGATTTTAACTTCATTCTTTTTGCTTCATTTCATTTGTTTCTCTTTAAGACTTGTGAGACAAGAGACACGTTTTAAATTAATAAGGAATTTGCGCCCCGCCCCCCACCAAAGGCATAAAATATTCCCAGGGGGTGGTTTAAACACAGCTTGCGCCACCGAGGTTGGAGAATGGATTAACTGCCTGTTAATGGACAGACTACCTTCCTCCTTACATGTAAACTAACTGATCACAGCCTCTTCTTACCTCAGTTAGCTCCCAGGTAATACTGATTGTCCAGCAGAGACCATAACTACGGATCAACAAGGCCTTCATGGCCCAGCCCCAGAAATGTCCAAACGCAAATATATCAAAGTGGCTGATAATCCTCTCCCAGGTGATAACGTGACAGTTGACAGCGTACTCCTATTCAAAATAAAAAGGGAAATAATTAATGGATACTCTCAAAATCAACTTCCTTCCAGGATCCTGACAACAAATGAAAAGAACTGATATGACCTTGACAACTAATACCTGTCCTGCCCCCCCACCCCCCCAAAAGCTTTAATAAATGAACATCCTCTAGGAAAAATGGACAAATATTAAAGTTTATGAATCAGAATTGCTTTGCTCTGAATTGCAGAAATTTGATTAAAATGGGAAGCAAAATAATTTTACAAAGGCTTATTAACCTGTCTTAAAGAAGCAGAATCACACAGCCCATGTTACCTGACTGTACGGCAACTATGTTAAAGCCAGTGATAAGAACATAAATAGAATCCCAATTAATAAAGAATAAGTGAATCCCAATAGGTTTGGAAATGTATTTATTTATTTATTTATATTTATTTATTTATTTGACAGAGTAAGACACAGAGAGAGAGGGAACATAAGCAGGGGAGTGAGAGAGGGAGAAACAGGCTTCCCACTGAGCAGGGAGCCTGATGCGGGGCTCGATCCCAGGATCCTGGAACCATGACCTGAGCCAAAGGCAGATGCTTAATGACTGAGCCACCCAGGCGCCCCTCGGTTTGGAAATTTTTTTTTTTTTAAAGATTTTATTTATTTATTTGAGAGACAGAGAGAGAAACAGCATGAGAGGGGAGAAGGTCAGAAGGAGAAGCAGGCTCCCCGCTGAGCCAGGAGCCCAACGTGGGACTCGATCCCAGGACTCTGGGATCATGACCTGAGCTGAAGACAGTCGCTTAACCAACTGAGCCACCCAGGCACCCTCGGTTTGGAAATTTAAAAACACATCTAAATATCATGGTGTAGAGAAGGAATCAGAATAGAAATGTAAAATACAGTCAGTATTAAATAGTAATGAAAATACTATATATATGAACGATGGGATGAAGCTAAGTAGAACTCAGAGGAAAACGTAAAGCCTTAAGTATTTGTCAGAAAAGAGGAAAGGCTAAAGCATCCAATTTCAGAAATTAGAAGGAAACAGAATAAACCTCCCATCCCCAAATGTTATCACATGCTACATAATTTAAATATTTAAAATGACAAAGCTGGGCGCCTGGGTGGCTCAGTCAGTTAAGCGTCTGCCTTTGGCTCAGGTTCTGGGTTCGAGCCTTGCATCGGGCTCCCTGCTCAGCGGGGAGCCTGCTTCTCCCTCTGTCTGTCGCTCCCCCTGCTTGTGTGCATGCTCTCTCTCTCTCAAATAAATAAAATCTTTTAAAAACAAATAAATAATAAAAATGACAAAGCTTTTAAAACTTTTGGTTTTGTTTCTAATATCTGTTTTTAATATGACATATTTTAAAGAAATTTTAAGTCAACATCCTTATATTTCTGTATTTATTAAGAAAGTGATTGTCATATGACAATGTAACATTTCTCGAACCTCTACATTTAACATTCTTTCTTCCCAAAATTAATCTGATAGGATGGAGTAAGATTTGGAAAACAGCCACCTATTATCAGCCAGTTGAAAGTATTCCTGTAAAGTATTAATATTTTTAAATTCCAGAAATGACGCCTCCTAAGGGAGCAAAAGAGCAATGTGGTACTCCTCCCTCTTCCAAAACCCACCACCATTAGATTTCTGAAGCCTTTCTCAGATCCATTTGGTATGTTTCGATTTGCAAAGCTGAAAGGACATTTTAAAAAACTGTATTTTTTCAGAAACGTTATGATATGATATTATGACATGTAAGTGGGAAATGTGGAAAGAAGAGGAAAAGATTCAATAGGGAGAAGTCAAGACAAGACTTAGAACAAACAACTGCACTGCACTGTAGTAAGAGGAAAATTCTCATCCAGAGTCTGGAACAACATGTGCCCGTCGCAGGCATCACAGACAATGGAGAGAAACACCCCGAGGCTGAAGCAGCTCCGTGTGAGGTTCAGGAAGAGCCGAAAGGCCCCATCAACCCAAATTCCTCGACCACCACATCCTCTTATTTACACTGGACACGCTGCACAGGGTGAGAAGAGAGAGCTGAGCTCTGTTTTCAGATGGCTGCTCTTCAAGTCATCGTGGGCTGAAGATGACTTTGGGGGCCCTTCGACTCTCTGTGAGAATATTTCTAGGCTTCAACACAGGCAAAGGCACTTTGAAAGTCACAAAGAGCCAAACATAACTCTTAGCATTATAATTATTAGTGCACAGATTTGCCAGTGATCACATCAGGAAGATCTCTGAGGTCCTGGTCGTGGGAGGAAGACAGACCCTGCAGTTTAATGCTGCTAGGGAGCCGAGTGCAGGCACAACTCTGGGCAGCAGGGGGAAGGGGCATTAAATGAGGGAATCCCCGAGCCAGGGGGGCAAGGAGGGGAAGGCGTGAGCAAATGAGTGAAGGGTAGGTAAAGACAAATTGCACCCACCTCCCTAACTGGTCGCACGGCTGATCTTGGTGGCTCCACCTTCTTCCTCGCTTGCCCAACACTTAAGCAAATACCAAGTCCTATTCATTGGGCTCGGTCAGTTTACTTTGTGATACAATCCCCTTTGCTCAAAAACCCAAGAAAACAGTGGAGGAAAGTATCATATACCTGGAACACCTTTCTCCCAATCTCTGTTTCATAAGGCTCCCGTGAGGGTCAAAGCACTGTCATTACTGGAACTACGTACTTACGGCACACCTAATCTCTGTTTCATAAGGCTCCCATGAGGGTCAAAGCATTGTCATTGCTGGAACTATGTACTTATGGCACAGTCCCAAGGAAAAGGATAGGTCCTGAAATCAGAGGGATCTCACCAGCTTTGTGCTTTGAATGAGATATTTATCCATTTTTAAATTTCCATTTCCTCCTTGATAAAATGGGGGCTATTAATGCCTAGCATGCCTGTGTGAGGCTTACACAGAATATACGTAAGTGCTGGCAGAACAGACAACCCACAGTTGGTAACTGCCACCACCCTCACCATACCCATCACTATCATTATCACCATCAGTAGAAGCTCCAAGTCACCCCACGCCACTCTGTTCCTTAAAGTAAGAAACTCCCGGACAGACTTTTCTTCCTGAGACTTTCAAATAATTTTTGGCACTCTTATTTCTGCCTTTAGCATGTCCTTTACAAAGTTAAAGATAAAATGTTGAGACACCATTCAAGAAGGGTCTGACCAATCTCAACTCCACTAGGATGATCACTTCTTGGACCTTTTATTAAGTCCCTTTGTATTGTTTCTTTTTTTTTTTTTTTAAGATCTTATTTATTTATTTTGAGAGAGAGAGAGAGAGAGAACACGAGCAGGGGCAGGGTCTGAGACAGAGAGAGAGACAGAAGCAGACTTCCCACCGAGCAGGGAGCCCAATACCTGGCTCGATCCCAGGACTCTGGGATCATGACCTGAGCTGAAGGCAGATGCTCAACCAACTGAGCCACCCAGGTGCCCCTTTGTATTGTTTCTTAAACAAGGCCCTGCCTATGGCCCAGATGCCTGTTCTCCTTTTCTGAGCATTACTAGGTTTTTCCTTCAGTCTGTACCAAATGTTAGGTATTATTAAAAAAAAAAAAAAAATTAAAAAGGAAAGAAACAGCATTAGAGTATAAAATAGTCTCTTCCCTGAAAATGAAGTTCAGAGAAGCTTTACCCAAGAATAAAATTATTTTTGTGGGTTAAGAAAAATAATGAACGAAATGGCCTGGATCATTCACATCGGCCCCTTCATGGAGAAGGATCATGGCTTCGGGGCCAGAGTGGGGAGCAGAGGTGTTGAGGGCCACACTGCTAGAGCAGCGGCCACCGCCATCACTGAGGACCTGCCTTGTGCAAGGTGCCGGGCTAGGCCTCGGAGATAAGGTTACTTTGTTTAGTTCACAGTAAAACTCCCCAAATAAGTACTATTATTTCACTTTACAAAGAACGGAAGAGGCTAGCCAACAAGTACATTGCCCAAAGTCTTATAGCTAACAAGTGACAGAGGCAGAATTCACACCCAAGGCTGTCTGACGATAACAGTCACCCTCTTCCCACCATCCCCCTTCGCTCCAAGAGGGGATGTCATTTCCCTGGACCCTATCACTCATGGAAACCACACACCTCACCTTCCCAGAGACCCGGCTTTTACATTATCTACATGGGAAATATGCAGAAGTAACACTTTAGAACTTCACTTTAGTGAAGCCGACTATCTCTTATACCCAAGAGTCTACTGATTTCTCTGAGAGACCACGGACAAGTACATACCATGATGTCTGCTTCCCTCGTGGCGTATCGAAGATTTGGATCCAGCCAGTACATCAGGGATTTAACCTGATCAAAGTTCAGGAAGAGGAGGAATACCAGGAAAAGGAAGTAGAGCACACTGAGTCCTGAGGGAAACAAAACATCCCCACATTTAGGGGAGATCTGGGGGTCAGATGCGCAACACATGAGAGACTCAAGGCAGACATGGATATTGCAGTGTAGCGTGTCGAGATCCCCGTTACAGTCTGGCAGTTCCTTTGATGAGCGAGTCTGATACACCGTCCCAATTCACACTGAGACGGTTGGTAATACTCTCTGAGAAAACGATGCTCGAGTCGAGTCTTGAAGGACCAGCCAAAATTCAGGTAGAGAAAAGGCATCCAGGTAAGCCCGTGACATCAGAAGCAGAAAGGGGAAGGGAGCACGGTAGCCCTGAGGTGAAAGGGCTTGGGGGCCATGGCAAAGATCTCAGATTTTACCATAAATCAAACAAAGAGCACGTGACAGCCTTTAAGTGGGGGAATAAGATGATGTGGGTAACGCTTTACAAAGTGGACTCTGGCTGCTGTGTGGAGAGTGGAGGGAGGTGGGCAAGCCGGGTATGGACAGCCCAGTCAGGGGGCAACATCAGCAGAGACAGGTGTGAAGGGCCGAGAGGTGGCCCAGGGCTACACATCCACATCTTGTCAGCCCTTGTGGGCATTACGTTCCTGTCGCATCACAGCAGAATCAGTATCCTAATAATCACCCCACATCGTTCAAAAATAATCATCTGCTTTTAAAACAGCAAAAGCCTTTTGGAAAGATTTGGAAACCAACCACCAGTGGCTCTATCACTTCTCTTTCTCTCGAACCTGCTAGAATTAAAACATTTGTGTAGGACACTTAGACCCTGTGATACAAATGACCTTGGATCACAGCACTCCGTGTGAACTTGGCTCAGCGCTAATCTCTCACGAGCTGCTCCCGAGGAGACAGTGTCCATGGCTGCACTGAAATCCCCTGGAACATCTACAGCGCCTAGCCTTCCAAAAAGGCCTCTCCCTGTCCTCAGGGAGCTCAGGGGACTTGAGCACAGCATGGCTGACCTGGTTGTGCACCCCAGGGCCCCAGGGACACACACGTTAGTATAAGGACCTCCGCACGTTTATTACCAGCTGCTTTTATAAATTTTCATCTCAAATGCCCACCACTACACCTTTTTGTTATATTCTTATTTTATTACAATTTTATTATTTTATTATATTCTTATTTTATTATAATCTTTTCAAAATAATTATTTTAAGACAGAAAGAAACCATCTGTGTGGATCAGGGCTTCTTAAACTGGAATTCATGGTTGAGCTTCGAAGTCCATGAAGCCCCAGATGTAAAATGCACAAATGTGTGTGTGCGTGCACACTGAGAAAGGATTAGTTCTCATCAGATTATCAAAGGGCTTCATGATCCCAAAAAGATCCCAGGTAAGATTATAATTATAATTACCTATAATGGATCATCTGAAATAAGAAAAACTCAAATGTAGCCAGCATGCTGAAAATAAATCATAATTTCAAGCAGCAACATTAAGTCCATGAGATGTTAAGTATGATTGCAACCAGGACAATCTATTTAAAAATGGAAATGAATCACGTCACTTTTCTGTGAAAAATCCTCCCGGGACTTCCCACTGTCCCTCCTGTCTGTGCCCCTTACGGGCCCACATGCCCAGTGGGGCTCTGTCCCTGCCCGACTCTGGCCTCTCTCTTACTACTCCCCTAGGGCCTGCTCTGCTCCACCACACTGGCCTGCAACACACCACGCTCTTTCTGGCTGGGGACCATTTTAGTAGCCCTTCCCTTTGCCTGGCTTCCGGTGACCCCAATCCTTGCCAGATCCTACTTTGCACAAGCACGTTTCTGTGAAGCATTCTTTCACAGAAGCGAAGTATGGAATTGGGCATGGAATTGTACCCAATTCCAAAAAGTAAAAGGCTATTAAGTTTTACTGTAAAACTGCTACAATGATATATAGAAAATGGATTTTAAGTAAAATATATTTCTAAATCTACTAATGGGTAACTCACCAAAAACCATTCTCCATAAGGCCGGATGAGGTCGAGTAAATGGGCCTGCAGAGGGAAAATGTAAGGTTAAAACAAACGGGTTTCAAACAAAAACGAAAAGCAAAGTGCTGACCGCTATAGCGATTTAAAAAAAAAAAAAAAAAGCTCTCTACTGTCAAAATTTTTTTCTACATGAATATTTTGAGGTCAAGTCTAGGTTGAAATATTTTATTTGCATTGTAGCAACTGTCACCACAACCGTAACAGGTACCAGTCTCCACAACAGACATTTGTTTGCAAAACTTTGTCTTTACAGCTCGGACCCTAATTTCCCAGGGAAACAATGTTACAACAGCGAGTGGTTACCAAGCCAGCCAGCCTGAAAGAGTTCTTCAAACATACGGAAGTTTAACAAGTGAAATCTCCCAGCCCAGCTAGTGTGTGTGTGTGCATGTGTGCGTGCGTGTGCGCGTGCATGCACGCAAGTGAGAGAGCGAGCAAGAGCTCTGGGAATTAAACAGGAGAAACACTGCTTTGAGAACACGTGAAGTGGGGTATGAAACTGAAAATAAATCCTTTGAGCACTGGAATGTGCTAGTGCAGTGGCTTTTGATCATGAACTGTGGTAACAAAATACCTCTGACATGGCAACCCCAACCAGACACACAGACGCAGCTTCTGCACCATGAAAACAGGCTTCACAGGACGAAACTTACTCTGACTACAAGTGACCCACCAATACTTTCTCTTGTTTATCTCTTCAAAAAAAAAAAGCAGAAGCAAGCCAGCAAGCAAGCCAGCCAGGCCTTGATCTACTAAACTGACTTACCATCAACGGAAGGGTTACAGTTCACAAATACCGAACAGTGCTCTTGTGGGCACCTGACCTACTTGGGGCTGCCCGCCCCTGTGGAACAGCCTACCTACATACTCCTGGAGGATTTCCAACATCAGAATCCCACATCTCCCGGGGAGATGTGGGAGCTGGCTGCCCAGCCCCCTTCCTAACCGGGGCTTAGTTCTTCAGTGGCACCTGTGCCAGACTTGATCTCAGGAGCTGGCGATACAGACCTAAGGGTGAGGAGCTCTCCTCCACCTCTCCCTCTCCCTCTGCCTGGACCAGCATGGACAGTAGGGGGGAGATGGCACTGGTGATCGGGGCAGTTCCCTGCAGAGGTGACAGTGGGACAGACTATAGCCAGTGCTCACTGGGGTTTCCTCATTAGACCAGTTCTGGGTGACCGGCCAGTTCCTAGAAGCTTAGCCTGAGACCCAGCCTCCTAGCCCCCCCAGGAGTCCTCCAGCCGACATCCTGTAAGTCTTTTCAATCAGTAATCAGCTTCTGTTGCTGGCAACCTGGAATCCTGTCTGAAGGAAACATTACATTGTAATTTTTATTCTGGAACTCATTCTCAATCACCCACCTCATCTTAAAAAGACAACTTTGAAACATATTTAACTGCTTTCTTTTGATGGATCAGGTTCGTATTAGGAAAATCAGTTACAAGTATCCCCTGCCATCCAAATCTAGTCGGTTCCTGAGCTTAGACAGAGGCAGTTCAGAAGGTGAGTGAGGTTCGTGCAGGCCTCCGCTCTACCCAAGTTAACACGGTGTCTGAGTTTTGGAATGGCAAGGAGTGAGAGCTCAGATTGAGGGATTTAAATAAAGTGTCTCCAAACCCGTTCCATTTCTGAGTTCTGGTAGCAAAGGCTCAGACAGCAAGGAATACCTGTATTCTTCCTAACTGGCCGCTTTTTTCTCAGAAAAGCACAGCGAAGCATAGAAACCAGGGTCCCCTTCCAGCTAACAACATGGCTAACTTTCTTCAAGTCCCTGGAAAACAGATGGCTAAAATGGTCATCTTTTAATTTCCTCTTCCCAATGCCCTCTCCACTGCTGTTGGTCACCACAAGTGGCTTCTGTGTTACTGCGGCTGCCTGGCGTGCAAGTTATCACTTCATCCAAATCACCGCATTCTCCTTTTAGAACACGGGACCCCACCTTTCTCTAGGCTTCCTCTCACGAGGTGAAACTCTAAAATGGTACAATTATTTGGCTTGCAACACAATTCCATGCCCAATCAACACTTAGAATCATATAAGTTGGGTTATTCTCAAGAGCAATCACAACTATTATAGTACTTTGCGGGGCACTTAGTGCGTAGCAAGAACCCCCCCCCCGTTGTCTCCTAATTGTCGTGACAGCTGGGTGGTGAGAGGGTATCATCACTCCCACTTTACAGCTCAGGACATGGAGGCACAGGTACTTGCCCAGGGTCACACAGCCCACAGGACCCCAACTCTGGTCTGAAAGCACTTTGTGCTTTCTGATCCCCTCCGCCAGGCCTGGGCTGGCTCAAGAGGACAGAGCGGGGGCAGTGGGTGGGGAGACGTTGAGGGTTTCAACCAGGGCTGTCTCAGGGCCAGGAGAACGAGGGGAGAGAAGCAAGCTAATGAGTGGTGTTTACAGGTGCTGCCGTGTGGAACTGGTAAGCAAGGTCAGGAAGGACAAGGGGCATGATGGGGAACTGATTAAGGTCCCTCATATCAACTTAACAGAAGGGCCCCCAAAGTCATCTTCAGCCCATGATGACTTGAAGAGCAGCCTTCTGAAAACAGAACTCAGCTCTCTCTTCTCACCCTGTGCAGCGTGTCCAGTGTAAATAAGAGGATAGTGTGGTTGAGGAGTTTGGGGTTGATGGGGCCTTGTGGCTCTTCCTTAAACTGATATGGAGCTGCTTCAGCCTCGGGGTATTTCTCTCCATCAGTCTGTGATGCCTGCGACAGGCACATGTTGTTCCAGACTCTGGTTGAGAATTTTCCTCTTACTACAGTGCAGTTTGTTGTTTGTTCTAAGTCTTGTCTTGACTTCTCCCTATTGAATCTTTTCCTCTTTTCTCCACATTTCGCACTTACACTTCATAATATCGCACCACATTTCTGAAAAAATACATTTTTTTTATTATGTTCAGTTAGCCCGCATATAGTACATCATTAGTTTCTGATGTAGTGTTCAACAAATAGTTGTTTTTTTTAAATTTATTTATTTGACAGAGAGAGACACAGCGAGAGAGGGAACACAAGTAGGGAGAGTGGGAGAGGGAGAAGCAGGCTTCCCGCTGAGCAGGGAGCCTGATGCGGGGCTCGATCCCAGGACCCTGGGATCATGACCTGAGCTGAAGGCAGACGCTTAACCGACTGAGGCACCCAGGCACCCCCAACAAATACAGTTTTTTAAAATGTCCTTTAGGGGTGCCTGGGGGGCTCAGTCATTAAGCATCTGCCTTCAGCTCAGGTCATGATCTCAGGGGCCTGGGATCGAGTCCCGCATCAGTCTCCCTGCTCAGTGGGGAGCCTGCTTCTCTCTCTCCCTCAGTAGCACCCCCCTTGTACTCTCTCTCTCTCCCTCTCAGATAAATGAAATTTAAAAAAAAAAATTAAAATGTCCTTTAGCTTTGCAAATCGAAATGTACTGGATGAATCCGAGAAAGGCTTCAGAAATCTGACATGAGTTTCAGAGAACAAGCTGCTCTACCCTGAACCACGTAGGTGGGAAGCGTTGGTGTTTTTTGCTACAACAGGTGTAGATAAGGCCCTGGAATGTAAGGTGAGACTTTCAGCAGCTACTTGCAAAACCCATTCCAGGCTTTATTTCAGTCATCACATCTGCCCACTCCTTTCTGAAAAGGTACTCTAAATGTTTTGGTGCAGTATTTCAAGGAGTACATTCTAGCAGCATTACTCACTAAGATTACCAACTTTACCATCAAAGCCGGGACTACTGCTAAAAATACTCTTTGTATTATTTTGCGTTTTAAAAAAACATGGAGCATAAGGCTGGTGTGTTTTTCTCTTATTACGAACCCTGACGCTGATGCTCACCACATCACCCACACTTGCCTGCTCCAGTCAGGTGTGCTCTAGAGCAGTGCTTCCCGCAGCTCTCCTCTGCCCAGGCATGTTAGCGCTGCCCAGTCTTCCCCGAACATTCACGCTACCTCCGTGCCTTCCCCACAGATCCCACTTGTCAGGGGACTACTTTTGTCAGTGGGCAAGTCCCAGCAGGGCACCTTCTCCTCCCCCGCCCCGTGTTACGGTCCGGAAGGTAGGGGGCGCTCCATCTCAGGGTCTGCATCTTCTCTAGGCTTTATTTCTTTTTCTTTTTCTTTTAATTTAATTCTACTTTATTATGTTATGTTAGTCACCATACAATGCATCATTAGTTTTTGATGTAGTGATCCACGCTTCATTGTTTGTGTATAACACCCAGTGCTCCATGCAGTACGTGCCCTCCTTAATACCCATCACCAGGCTAACCCATCCCTCCACCCCCTCCCCTCTAGATCCCTCAGTTTGTTTCTCAGAGTCCACAGCCTCTCATGGTTCGTCTCTCCCCCCGATTTCCGCCCCCCTTCATTCTTCCCTTCCTTCTCCTAATGTCCTCCATGCTATTCCTTATGTTCCACAAATGAGTGGAATCATATGATAATTGGCTTTCTCTGCTTGACTTATTTCACTTAGCATAATCTCCTCCAGTCCCATCCATGTTGATGTAAAAGTTGGGTATTCATCCTTTCTGATAGCTGAGTAATATTCCATTGTATATATGGACCACATCTTCTTTATCCGTTCATCCGTTGAAGGGCATCTTGGCTCTTTCCACATTTCTGACTTGATAAAAGGTGCCTGCAAGAGCTACTCTTCTAGATCACATGGGAGGAACGGGGAAGGGCTTCTCCAGCAGGCGACGAACCAGAGCTGTTTGGTTCCAGGTTGTGACTTCTTCCCGGGGCCATGCTCAAATGTGGCTTGGTTTACTTTATCAGTCCCTCCATCTAGGACATGTAATTTTCAATCAGATATTAAGAATGAGTTTGATTTCAAAGGAAACAGAAATCAAATGGCCTTGCCATAAGAAGAGCTAGCACGTCAGAGGGGCGCCTGGGTGGCTCATTAAGTGATTGCCTTCGGCTCAGGTCATGGTCCCAGGGTCCTGGGATCGAGCCCCACATCGGGCTCCCTGCTCAGCGGGAAGCCTGCTTCTCCCTCTCC